GGGGAGGGGAGGCAGCCCGTGGGCAGGGGAGCCGAGCAGGGCTGCGTGGGCACAGAAATGCCCCCCCAGCCCGCAGAGCAGCTGAGCCTGAGCTCGTTGCAGTTCTGCCGGGTCGGGATCATCTTGGCTCTGCCCCGGTCCCTGCTGCACCTGGTGCAAGCTCGGGGGGATGTGAATTGTCCCCCACGGCCCAGGCCCCTGCAGGGACCAGCGGGCTGTCCCATTTTTGGGATGGTTTCCGGCTGGTTGCTTGGTTAAGAGCCCAACCCACCCACACGAGCATCAGAAAGGCATTAGCTGGTGCAGCTCCCGGCGAGCTGTCCCCGGGGCTCCCTCGCCATAACGCGGGGAGCTGCGATCGTTCCTCTTCCCAGAGGAGCAGCAAAGCCAAAACCTGGATGGGGCAGAGCCAGCCCGGGGCAGGGGAACCCGCTGCGGGCAGAGGGGCTGGGAGCAGAGCGTTCCCACCGGCCGCAGCGCCTGGTTGCACAGGTAAACAGTGACACTGACCCCAGCTAATGCACAAAGCAAATGAATCCCGTTCAGTTAATTGGCTTAAGTGTTACTTGTAGTGAGAGTAAATATTTTACAGCAGCGCAGAGGCTTTGCCTTGCAGGGCCCAGCTCCCTGTGCTGGGGCTGCAGCCCCGGTGCCCCCTGTGCCCAGGTGGGCCTGGCTGCTCCCGGGAGCAGCTCCTGCTGCTGGGGAGCCAGAGGGGGATTTGTTTTTGGCAAGGGAAAGTGTCGGGAGAGGATAAACTGTTGGCAAAGTGGTGTCGGATCAGCTCGGTCTGCAAAGGTTTATTCACACTGCCCAGCTCTGGGCTGTGCCCTGCAGGAGCAGCCCGGGGTGTCCTGTCCCCAGCTGGGCTCATGGCAGGTGCCAACTGTGTCTTCTGCCCAGTCTGGGTCAGGTTATGGTGTTTTTTGCAGACGTTTCCATAAGTGAATAACGGTGCCCTGGGAGGGGCACCTGCACAGGCTCGTGCTGTCACCAGTGTCACCTCTGCAGTGACGGCAGCAGCTGGGGCAGAGAACTTGTGAGAACTTCCCCCTCTATTCTGCATTGGTGAGGCCACATCTGGAGTATTGTGTCCAGTTCTGGGCCCCTCAGTTCCAGAAGGACAGGGAAGTGCTCGAGAGAGTCCAGCGCAGAGCTACGAAGATGATGAAGGGAGTGGAACATCTCCCTTATGAGGAAAGGCTGAGGGAGCTGGGTCTCTTTAGCTTGGAGAAAAGGAGACTGAGGGGTGACCTCATCAATGTTTACAAATATGTAAGGGGTGAGTGTCAGGGGGACGGAGTTAGGCTTTTCTCAGTGATGACCAGTGATAGGACAAGGGGTAATGGGTGTAAATTGGAGCATAGGAGGTTCAAGGTGAATATCTGAAAAAAATTTTTCCTGTGAGAGTGACAGAGCACTGGGCCAGGCTGCCCAGGGAGGGTGTGGAGTCTCCTTCACTGGAGACATTCAAACCCAGCTGGATGTGTTCCTGTGTGATGTGCTCTGGGGGATCCTGCTCTGGCAGGGGGGTTGGACTAGATGATCTTTCGAGGTCCCTTCCAGCCCCTAAGATTCTGTGATTCTATGATTCAGTGCAGCTGTGGCCCTAGGCAGGGGAGCAGCAAGTGGTGCTGCAGGCTGAGCTGACAGCCCGGGCTGGGCTGCCTGGAGCCCTGGGAGCTGCTTCCGAGGAGCAGTGGGATTAGAGACCATGTGAATTGGAAGCAGTGATTGATCTGCAATGGGTTTGACAGGAAAAGCAACTCCTGGCTGAACCAGGGGGTCTTTCCTCCCCGAGGTGCCCGTGCTGGGTCTCTGGGGGAGCAGAGCTTGGGGAGAAGCAGTGACCTTGATCTTTGAGGATGATACATGTTCTATGTTCAGGGAATTTCAGCTTTTCTTCTGAGAATTTAGGTGGTTTTGGGAGATGGCCTGGAAGCCCAAACCCCCTTAGCAGCTCCTCTCCCCCCTGCTCATGCTCAGCATCCTCCCAAACCCGGGCAGGTCAGAGCAGAGAACCCACCAGTGACAGCAGAGTCAGCGTGGCTTGGGGACAGCTGGAGATCAGTTGTCACCTTTGGAGTTCACCTCCTGAATTGCCAGTCTGGACAAGTCTGGTTTTGTTTGTCTCTGAAGCCCCACAGCTTCCCAAGCATCCTGCCAAGGCTTCCCTGGCTCCAGTGGCCCTTGGATGGCTGTGCTCAGGGCCTGTGCTGAGAAAAGTGAGGAACACCCCCTCAAAGTGAAGCCAAAAACCATCCTGGGGCTTCAGGGTAGCCCCAGCTTTGCTAGAAAGCTGTTCAGAAATCAGACACCAGCAGGGTGTTTAACTTTTAATACAATGTATATTTATTGCAAACAATAATATACAAAAAAAAAAAAAAGGTAAGTTTCACAAAGAGAAGGATCTTGCAAACAAAACAAAAAAAAACTTACCTAAAGACAAAATATGATTTAAATGACAGGTCTTTTAAGTTACAGAAATACTTTAAAAAGATCTGCTTTTATACAGAAATAGAAAGATGCCATATTATAAGAGTGCTTTAAGATTTTTTTTTTCTTCTACTGAATCCCTAAAAAAAAAAGTGTTAACAAATATATCAATTTTTTTTTTTTTTAAATAAAAAAAACTGAAGTTTGCTGTCTTTTTTAAAAAGCAATCCTTAACTGTTCAGCCACAGCTTCACCAAAGTCAGTGTCCCCACCTCAAGGCAGTTTTTGGGGGGGGGGGTGGAAGGAAAAAATGGGTCTGGTCCTTGCACGAGCTCGTGTGTCCCAGAGAGCTGAGGCAGAAAACAAGGCAAATGATTCAGTGATTTGCTACATTTGCAATCTTGAAGTTTGTACATATTTTTTTTTTCTTTTTCCAGTTTATCCTTAAGAAAAAAAAAAAAAAAAGGAAGAGCACGAGTTTGTACAAACCCAGGACACAGATTTAAAAACAAACAAAAAGGAATAATAATAATAAAAAAGAATTAAAGAGATAAATAAAGGACTGGTTACAGTTTAGACCATAATTTAACAGGCACGGTTACCTTCCAAATAATGCTCTGACAATTGCAATTGCTTTTGAAAGGACTTAAAATAGGAGGGAGATTAAAACAAAAAAAGACAAGTGTGATTAAAAACTGCTCTTCTCACAAAATAAATAATGTATCTGTGATGTCCCACAAGCAGAGAGGAGCCCCTGGATGGGTTTTGTATCAGGCCTGGGGTGGATGGGGGGGTTGATTGGAGGGGATCAAGCTCAGCCCCCCCAGTCCCAGGGACAGGCAGAGCTGGGGACAAGTGATTATCCCAGGGCTGAACTGAAGGCTTCCCAACAGCACTTCTTGCTGGGCTTTTTTATTATTATTACATTTTAAAAAAACCAAACTATTTGTTTTTCTTTCTTAAGGCTCAGGGTTATTAAAAAATAAAGTTAAAAATCTCCTCCTGGCTGGTTTTGCTATGAGTTAGAAAAATAAAGCCTCTCCCATGCTTGTCCCCACGCAGTCTCAGCTCATGTCTCCCAGGCTGCAGAGCTGTGTTCCCAGTTCAAAGCAGTTTGCTTCTTTATTTTGAGAGAAAAAAGACACTTTATCTATACAAAAATACCTCTGACTGCAAGAAAACCTAGGACTGCTCCACTAAGTGTCATTATTTTTTCTTTTTAGCTGCTGGAAAAATAAGAGCATTTAAAAAAAATCTCTAAAAAATACATATAAATCCCCTCCAATCGGCAACGAATCATACACAGTACATACTAAAAAATATTTAAAATAGAGAATATTCCTCACAGAGGACTCTGAGTTCTCTCTTTCTCCCCCCTCCCCCAATTTTTTTTCTCTTTTTTTTTTTTTTTTTCTTAATTACTGCTAAAAAAAAATAATAAGTCATTACAAAAAGTCCAGAGAACAAGACAGCTGAGGTGGTTGGGTTAGAAATCTCATCTGCCCGGGGAAGCAGAGTTAAAGTCCAGTCCTTGGAAAGTCTGTACCGAGTTTTGCCAGCTCTGGGAGCTGCCGGGCCCCTTCCTGGGGGGTGGAAGGGAGGGTGGAAGGGAGGGTGGGTGGGTGCTGTAGTGCAGAAGGCTCCAGGCACTCTCTCCTCCCCGCCAGCTCTAACTTTTTAGCATCTTTTATTCATTCTTATTTTAATTTCAAAGAAGGAAAAAGTCTGAAGAAGTTCTCCCATCTTCTTGCTGCTTCCGTGCTTTTTTGATAAGTGTTGTTTTGTTTGTTGTTTTGTTTTTTAACCTTTCTTGGTGGTTGGTTGGTTGTTTTTGGGCCTTTTAGGGCCTGGTGAGCTGTGTGTAGACGGGCTGTTCCCAGTGCTGCGGGCTATGGGTCTGGGGGATGGAGGGGACCCCCGAAGTGTCTGCAATGGGGGTGTACATGGGGCGCTGCGTGGGGTTCATGTAGGTGAAGGTGGAGTAGAGGCTGCTGCTCTGCCCGGCGGCGTGGCTGTAGTAGGAGCTGGAGTTCTGGTGGTCGGTGTAGTCGTACTGGGAGCGGGTGATGGTGGGGTAAGAGGAGCCGTAGTGCTGGAGGTTGAAGGAGCTGTAGTTGAGCTGCTGCGGGGAGTGCTGCTGCTGCTCGCTGTAGTGGCTGGGGCTCAGCTGCTCCGTCTTGATGTGCGTCCTCTGCTGCGCCGGGCCCTGCTCCCCCCCCAGCGCG